ATTTTAAATTTAAAGGATTAAGTCATTCCAACCCAAAACTTAATTCCTAAATTTTAGTATCAAAAGTCAAAGCGTATGATGAGAAAATACTTTGTAAGTTTAGCTAAGCGAGGGCAAAGGTTCGAATTAGAACAAAATTTTCGTGAATGACGATGAAAGAAAGCCACTTCCAATGAACACAAAACCCTCCCCACGTTTTTGTAGTATTCGTCAACTACATCTTCGAGAAGTTAAATACGGCAAATTACCACATTCACCTAAAGCAAAGAACCACTTCTAATTATGGAAATCTTTTTTTTTAACATATTACAATTTAAAGAGGGTATTCGAACCATAATTATGAAATTAGATGTACATCTTATAAAAAGATATATAGTTATTAGGCATGAAATTCAAGTGCATTTCTAATTATGGGTTATGCAATAATTTCGAAAGAGCCTCAAAGGCAATTTTAGGTACAAAATTGTTATATGTCATTTCAGAGTTAAAGCTTTAAAGTAGTTACCCGTCAATGTCTAAAAAATTTATTTTTAATGATGCAATTGTACGTGTCCTTAAATAAGGGTGATTAGATTCAAGTTTCAGGATAACCATGTCAAAGAAAATTTAATTTCAATGCCACAATAGAGATTCTTAAAGGAGAGCTTAATTAGTGATGAGTGTCCATAAACGACTTAAAACTAAAAGACTTTGACTTAAAAAAAAAAGAAGTTAAATCTTTAATTTCATCCTTCAATTATTTCACAAACTTCTGAATTGATTTTTGAACTTAAAAATTTTTTTGATTTAATCTTAAAAATTTTTAAATTTGACTTACAATTGGTCATTTTGTTAAAAAATAATTGACATGTTTTGTCATTAATGTTACATATATCTATCAATTAATGATTTTTTATAGTTAAGTAATAGACATATTAATTATTTTTTGATGAAGAGACTAAATTAGAGTTAAATTTAAAAATTTTAAGGATTAAATTAGGGATTATTTTAGTTTAAGAATTAATTCAGAGATTTATATAATAATTGAAAAATCAAATTAAGGGTTTAACAAAAAAAAAAAAGGAAAAAAGGGGACCAAATTAAGGGTTTAATTATATATTTTAATTTTGAAAGATTAAGTCATTCCAACTCAAAACTTAATTCCCAAATTTTAGTATCAAAAGTCGAAGCGTATGAAGAGAAAATACTTTGTCAGTTTAGCCAAGCGAGGGCAAAGGTTTGAATTTGAACAGAAGTTTCGTGAATGACGACGAAAGAAAGCCACTTCCAATGAACACAAAACCTTCTTACACGTTTTTGGGTATTCGTCAACTACATCTTCGAGAAGTTACATACAGCATATTACTGAACCGAGTTTTTAAGTTAAGTAATTCATCGGAAGCCTTTAATATTTAGATTTAATTAGTTGAGAGTTTCAATTCTTACTAATTATTTAAAAAATCTCTTATATCTTCATAATTCCTCAGTGTAAAAAAAAAAAA